CCCCCCCCCCCCCCCCCCGGGGCTCTAACATTTAACATAACTCAGCTCATTCATGAACTGTGTTCTTTACAGGACCCCAAGCACGGACACTGGTGGCTCGAATTTGGTTCAGGATTACTTGTGGGATACTGGCCTTCATTCCTGTTCAGTCATTTACGAAGCCATGCAAGCATGATACAATTTGGAGGAGAAATAGTGAACACTAAATCCATGGGATATCACACATCAACACAAATGGGCAGTGGCCATTTTGCAGATGAAGGATTTGGCAAAGCTTCTTATTTCAGAAATTTGCAAGTTGTTGATTGGGATAATAGTTTGATCCCACTTAATAATCTTCATTTATTAGCTGACCATCCAAATTGTTATGATATAAAAGCTGGAAAAAATAATGTTTGGGGAAATTATTTTTACTATGGAGGTCCTGGAAGAAACTCAAGGTGTCCATAAAAAAATGAAGAAAATTTGACAGAAAAATGTAGAAAATAACCTAATTATGATTCCTTCTGGTCCTTTTTTCAAAATTTTTTTCTCTCTCTAAATTCTTTGTAATCCTTTGAAGTGAGTTGGGCCATCTTTATAGTTTCCTCTCAATGGATCCATTGCTTCTTAGATCTTCCAGATTTGATGTAAATTTTCGAGTTGAGAAACTCGTAATATAACAGGGTTTGTATTATCTTTGTCTAGTTATTTTATCTATTTCATTTCAAGACGTACATCAATGATCTTATGTAGACATAGTAACAAATTGAATACGGTGACGGCTTCAAGTTCTTCTCGAGAACTTATTTGAGATTCTAAATGCGAAGATATTGACACTGAGAAAATAGTGTGATGAGGTCGATGCCAATATGTAGACAATTGGAATTTCATTCTTATTCACAACATGTCGATTATTCTTTACATTATTTCCGACCTTCAGTCATTTCGCCCTCTTCCTTTCCTTTTTCAAACAAAAAGAGATAAAAATATTAATATAGTTGACTTTAAATTTGTTGAAAATAAGACATAATTGTATTACTTGAATGTCAAGCCATGCGAGTAATGCTATGCAGCATTGTTGGTGCTAAGCATCTGTATAGGAGGTTGTAGGATACACTACTTCATTGAATAATTACCGCATCACAACTTCATCGGATTATGAAGCAACGAAACTTACTGATATATACACTGCTGTAGTGGCGCTACATAGCATTATTCAAAACCATGCATATAAGGTCAACTGCCACTGAAATGACCAAAAGGTTCCCAATTCTAAAACATTGTTTGTAACGAACAAGTTAATTCCAAGATTTATGTATAAAAACTATAACATTAAAATATTGCAACATTAATTACTATTATAAGCTTTCAGACAGAGAGGAGCAAACAAAAACAATCAGTATATCTGATTAGCAAAATTATTAACAATTCATTAATTGAAAGATGCAAAACTTGTCTGACCAAGAACATGGATTTTATCAACACTTAAATAATAATGGTTTATAGAATCATTTGTTTATCTCACTTGCTAGTTTCTATGCCTCGAGAATCTGCAGCTCCATTTTCTATAATGAAGGTTTGTAAAAAGTCTTTGCGGTTCGAGTTCGACCCCATTTCATGCACGACATATTTAATACATAGTATTTAATATTTTGGATTGAATTACACTATAAAGTAGTAAAAATCTTGTTTATAATACTACCCGCCACAATATTGCATACTAAACATGCATCAATGACGTGAATAAGATTGTACAACAGAAGTCGTCTAATTCGTATCAGTCCATGTGATGTACATTTAAGTGAACTAATGTTAAACAAGTTCTGTATTAGCTTGAACTGTTTACCACCCTTCTAAGCACATGCTTAAATAATGTGTGTGTGTGTGTGTATATATATATATCTTGTTCTGTATTAGCTTGAACTGTTTACCACCCTTCTAAGCACATGCTTAAATAATTTGTGTGCGTATATATATATATACTTATGACTAAACATTTTCTTGTTTTCTTTTAATAAATCAGAAAAAATTGTCCAAGTCAATCCAGAAACCAATTTCAAATCTGTTCCAGCTACTACATTAAAGAATCTGCTGGCTAATAGGAGCTTTGTTTGTTTTTTTTTGGGAAATTTAGCTTTGGAAAATGTGCTCCCAGATGGTCAAACGAAGTACCAAATACAATTAGTTAGCCCATGTGTTGAGGAACAGCTCATAGGTTCCAAACTTAAAGACTTTAGTGTAGCCTTGACATCATGAAAATTTCACAATTAGTGTGCCCTTTAATCCTTTTGGGTAAGTAAATCTCAGTGATTTCTTGTTCACGACGACTTGGCGATGAAGAAGTTCGATAACAAATAGCATGAACTCTAGTTTTATTAGCTTCTTGTGCATGGAAGTCGACCAACTTGATTAATTCATTTGAAGGAAATGGATTTCATAGAATAATGAACAAATCAAAAAGGGACGCGAGTATGTAACATTCACTTCAAAAAGGTAAAATAGTAAAGCATTAAGAGCTTGTTTAATATGCAGTATTAGATAGGTCAGTTCTAGTATCTTCATGCTATCCAATACTGTATAATAGACCTTACTGAACAAGCTATTGCACATATTGTGTTTTTATAAAATGACGACCAAAAGGATGCAGCAGTGGCTCAACCTGGAATTCATTGATCTCTTACATGAGATTGCAGGAACATACCTGATTCCTTAACCTTGCGAGAGACTAATATACCGAGCATTCTTAAGAATTGCAAGAACATGCCCATGCCTTCATACACGTCAAGAGCCAACGATCCAAGTATCATTAGAATGCAGCCTGAATAAGTTCTTTCTGTTGGAACAACATATCTCCATATAGGTGAATATCAGTCGTGATGCACATGATAATGACTTTTAAGAATTCGATCCCTCTCCTTAAAAAGAAACACCTTCATTAATCCTTGTAAAAGAGTGGACGGATTCCATGTTCATCTAATTTTAGTTCAACTGAGTTTGAGAGCACAGTCTATAAATGTAACTAGATCTTCAGGTGTACAGATACGAGAACCAGAAAAATCAAGGAAACTTAGTTCCATATCTTCCAATACGGCTTTGTCTGCATCAGATTTCTTCTCAGACTGCTCATATATAGCACCATATGTTCTTGCCATAAGATTGCAGAATTCCATAAATGTTTGATCCTCCATGGTTTCCCTGAGATCAATGGAAACACCAGAGTTTTTCCATTGGCCGGTGGATTCCATCTTCAAAGCAATACATTGTATAGATTTAAGGTTGAAAATCACAAGCGGAACCACTTGAGATGAACTCCAGCTTAATTTTTCCGTATCACTTGTGAGATTGCAGAGTAGGACCAAGTTGGCAAAGGAAAAGCGTACCATGAAAACGAAGAAGTCGTAGAAATTCATTCCTACAAAAAGACAAACGGTCAAGAATAAAAACAGGATGAGCAATGAATTACTAATTATAATTTAAGAAATCACTGCAAAAGCTGATATTATCTCATTTTAGGAAGCGTCAAATATACTTTAAATAGAAATGCTATCCGCTCAGATCAGTTTAAGAGAGAGAACTAATTTATTATAGTCTCTCTAATCTCGATTATAGGAAACCCAAGATTTCGTTGAATTGTGGTCTGACAGATTGAATTGTGTTGAATTATATAGTTGTATCCAACTAATTCCACCGCCATTTAAGGTCAGTCGTTCCATTGTGGAACATCTGTGTACAGTCATCCACCAAATAAATCGCCTAGCTTGTCAAAACAGATATACTGGGCCGCATGTCATCTGAACGCCAAAAGAATTGTCGTGCCACTCACTCCAAGCACCACAACTTCACACTATAATATAGAAGCAGTTCTCTTCCAGCAACATTCCTTAAATAGTCATCAAATTCAAATATTTTCCATCTTTTATGCTTATCATTCACTTAAGATATGCCATATCTATAGAGCACGTGATACGTATAAATGTGATTATTGCACCACTGTGCTAACTAGACCATCTAATTCACACATAGGTACTCACTCCCAGAGAGGCATGAATAACCAAAGAAAAAGGATGAAAAAAAAAGGAAGTGCGCCATCATCTGCAGTAAGCGATGGATCAAGATAGCTCCAACATCAGCTCCAACCATCCAAGTGTGGCTAGTTCTGTCAATTTTGTACTGGCTAAAATCTGCCTTTTTCATTGATAGGTTTAGACTTATAATCCCTACCCCACACTGTATCATATGCACAACAATCTGAAATAACTATAATAACTTTTAGTTTAAGGTAATCTGAAAGGCTGGCTAACTTTATAATACAACAATCCAAACTCAAGTTGTCAGCTATGACCAACACTCTAACATGACTAAATCCAATATTACTTGGCCTACATCAGTGAATTCCAGGATCAATCATTACCATGAATTCCAATGGTATATAAAAAAATGTCATGTATGATGACATTACAAGTCTAGCAGGCAGTTTGTGTTCCCTTTTCAGAACCCAGGTCACCTTTATACAGAGATACAACAAACAATTTCTTCTCTAGTAGATTTATGGACTGTGTACCATTTTATATGTTTGGATTTTAATTAGCCAAACTTTATATAAAAGGATCTAATCACCTACTGCATCATGTGGTTATTGCGTGAAAATGGCATGAATACTACAGGTCAATCTGCATCATACTGAAAGATGATACTAGAAAATCATGGGAATTAAAAACTAGTTATCTGGTACCATTTTTTGATGGGTTGAGGCAAAGCAACCTCCTAAAGGATATCTTTCTAGTACTATAGAAAAATATTACTGAGCGGTAAGGAATACGGCATACCTGCATTAGCTGCAAGATTTCGCTGGCAGAGCCCCTCAAAATCATCACATATGTCCTTGATGTCTTCAATATACTCCCTCGCCTCGTGATACTCTCTCAAAAGCAAATCCCACTGATGAAATGAAATAAGAATGTAACTTTATGGCTTTAATCCTTGATTGTTATAGGGCTTGACCCCAGCATAGTATTTACATTCGCTTCACTTACCACCCAAGAAATATTGTGGCCATTGAACCAATTGTGATTTATTGATACTGTATCTTCCTGAAAATTATGATCCATTCACAAAATTAGCATCTAATATCTAGATGTATGAAGCGTGCAATACAAACATTTACATGTAAAGTTAAATACTTGATGCATGATATGCATAAAAACTCAAACACAGTCACATTTTCTACTCTAAGTACATGATTTTTCAGACGAATGAGATGTCAACTACATTTTTTCCTTCCTTGTAGTCAACATTTAATGATTTTATCAACCTAACGATGAATCATAACTTATCCAGTCCAAGTCAACTCAGCCTTCTCCCAACTGTAAAAAGTTGTAGGCTTCCATTAAGTGATTGCAATGCATATTAATTAGTCATAGCAGTGATCCAGAGATATATCTCAGTTAATATTTGCTACTGCTAGTAAGTACAAATAAGATCTCATCTTAAACAGATGTCATACTGAAAAAACACAGAAAATTCCTAGGTACAGATATAGACCACGGAGCTTAAATCTGATTTTGTACAAAAGTTTGCAGCTTAGTAGTGAAAGGATACTCGTTTAGCAACACTCAGTAGAGCCAGTACCACAAGTTTGAGCCAAGATATGAATGTTATACGCACCTTATTCTAGTCGTGTCTTAGGGACAGAATGTAAATGAGGAGACATTTTATGTTCTTGCATCAGAAAGTTAGTCAATTCTAACTTAAGTAAAAATTTGCAGATATATTTTAGCATTTTATGAATTATTGAAGGAATGAAATGCATCCTGAATAATTCTCCGTAGCACGGACACTTCAACTAGGGTAGCATGTCCGTGTTCAACATGTGTTGGATACCGACACTTATTGGACACTCTATAATAGTAATTTTTATATCTTTATAGAAAATTTTATATATTTTTAAATGAAAGTTATTATTAAATACCAAGTACGTACTCATATTTAAAACATTACAACATGAAAAATTAATAACAAGTACAAGATTAAATTTATACTATATAAATAAATTTTTTTAAAGAATTTAATCGCGTCGACGACGTATCGTATCAGTATTTTTTTGAAAAATTGCGTGTTCACGTATCAGATATGTATCGTGTCAGACACACGTATCCGTGTCGGTGTATCATAGTATACCGAGATAGATTTGTATGATATCTGTTGACTATTGGCATGAGACATCCAACCCATACCCATTGATGCATCCAGTAATTTTCTGTGTTCCTAACAATAATTATTATATTCTACAACGAAGAGACTAGGTGTATTTTTCCTTAGGTTTTCTATGTATTCCTAAAATATACTATGAAGACAATATGCAATTGCACATGACTTCATGAAATAAAGAGCTGAAAAATTGTCTCTCTCATTATGCTGTCTGTTTTGCTTCAATCACATATTTTACGAGTCCAAGATGGTTTGGATGCAAGCTGGTACTTAAATCATGAAAGGCATATGTAAAACTTTGCAGCAAAAAGCCTTCTAGCTATTTTAACTTGTACATAAAGGAAATTTTTCCACTGTTTGTGATACACGGAAGATTCCTTAGCAATCATTTACATAAATTTCAATACAACCTAAGTTTCTTTTGAGTTGGAGGATAATGATTGCACTAAGAAAATTGTTCAGACTCACTTGGTGAGTTCTCTCAAAATTAACTTCAGCTTCTTAGAAAGTTTTGGAGGAAAAGAATTTATAAAGAAAGAAATCCAAAGTTAGAATGCAATTCAAGGATACCAGATTATGAACTTGATGATACCACCCACTGGGTACGAAGATTATTTCGTTTTTCTCCTGAGTGCATTCCCACCAGATAGCCTGGATTGGCAGAAAGAAAGAAACTCGACATATGACAAATTCTCCATTGGATAAAATAAAAACTAGGAGCAGATAAATGAATATTTCTCAACTCGCAAGTACCTCCTCTAAACCAGTGAAATTCGATTTGTAGACTTCCTCAAAGATGTTGTACACAGAAGACTTCATATGCCTGAATAACATTTAAAAGCATAAATCTTATTTTAACCATGAAAACAACACCGACTAAGATAGATGCAGCAACTGACAACATTCCTAAAACTGCACAGGCATATGCTTGCATTTCCAAAATGAGAGGTGCAAATTCATATACCATGATACCTTTTTTTAATACTACCAAAATATTTATTTATACCACGGTGAGATTATATTGACTTCTGTTTTATGTATCAAGTAGAAGGGAAGGCGGTAAATTGATATGGGTATTCATCCTCTACCACCTATGGAGTCATGGGAGTGCACTATATTGGTCTAGCACAAGTTCGACATATGTTAGATATGTAGTTGAGTAGCCTGGTCATTTGGTTTAACTAAATGATAACTAATTTCCAGAGCCACTCATAGATTATGATGATTTCCTGGATATTCATGCTCAAAATGATGAGCTGTACAGCCATTTGTCATTTTAGAATTGGATATGGTATACTATCCCTTACCACATCACTGTCCTTTATGGTTTACACGGAAAAGGTATAGAGGATTTTCAGTTGTGTTTAATTTTCTCCCAAAGAATCCCTTCAGCAATATACAATTTCATTCACCTCTTAAACAGAGTTTCAAGTAAAGAAATGGGAAGACTGAAAAGATACAAGTAGGAGGATTGATTATGCACGTCTTTGATAAATATAAGAGATGGTAAAGAAAGGAGAAGGAGATATATGGTTTTCAACATATAGGGCACAAGCTTACTATGTTTCTTCAGCTATTTCAAACAAAGTTAATGGAAAGCTAATATCCCTCCATTTCCTTCCCATTTTATTTAAACCTTTCATTTCCTTCTCTTCCATTTCATCCAAAAACACCAACTGTTATCAGCTCAGCAACTCATGCAATCGCAAGAAAATGTAACTATACCTGTCAAACACAAGGTGATACTGACTTGGAGGCAGAAAATACCATTGTTTCCTGCCACACACATTAGCTGACCAACTGTATGACCTGAAAACATCAGCATGAAGTGGTGTCCATGTACCTGTAAGCGAAATCAAAAGCATCACGTTATTTTCAAGTAGACCAGTTATACACATCAACTTCGTCCAGTTTGTAAGAAGAATCATCCACTATGATATCATCGTCTTACAAAAAATGTTTCATTGCATCTACGCTCAAACCTTTTGCTCCCATGTACACAAAACGATAGTCAGAGCACATAATTTCATTTCTCTTTTGGCAAGTGTCAGGGTCATTATGCATTGTGTACTTGTCAAGATACAGATTCAACCAATCATCACAGAAAAACTTTGGAGGGCTGTAGGCAACATAATCTGGATACTCCTGCAAATGTTGAACAATTTAAACAGGTCAAGATCATCAGCAGACCGAGCTCACTCTCATGTGACAACACTAGTTGAAGTCGTTAAATAGACTTAGTCATAAGTAACACGAGAGATATAAGTCCAAGACTCCAGAATCGGAAATGTCTAACCTTTAAAGTCAAGGACATGGAACCTGGAAAAAAGTTGTTTGATCCCATTTTTTCCAAAATATATTTTTCTCTCTTCTTTTCAACCACACGTTCTTCAATAAAATAATGTTACAAGCAAACCCAAAATTTTTCCTTATTTTTTAACCACGCATTCTCTATCATTCTATTATTCCAAAATGCATTCTACACCAAAAATGGGGCTCAAACAGGCGAGAGAAAATACCTTGTGTTTCTCAGTTTTTAGTTTTAGTTCTAATTATACTGGCGTTTCAAGGAAAGGATTTCATCCACTGTAAAGCCATACATAGCAGGAGCTCAAAATTTCAAATACCATTAAAAAGAAATATGGTTTCCAAATGATCTGTACATTCAAAAGTTACACAGAACATAAACAGATGATTGTGTAACCCAGCAAACAGATCCCGGTAGTAGTATTCCATTGAATTTTTTCTGAAAATTACAAACAAAACACGGCGTAATCAACCTTAACAACTATACCACGTCATTCAATTGCAGATTGTGCACGTCCACACTAGCATATAGATAGAAAATCAATAAAAAAAGGAAAGAAAAAAAAAAGTTTCAAAGCACACCTTAGCAAAATGCCAATCCTTCAAATACAACAGTGAATTGCCATCAGACCCACCATCCTTCCTAGCAGCAGAAAGCTGAGCCCATTGATCAATGAACTCCGAAACAGACATTTCCGTCCTTTTCTGGTCCGTAAATTCCCTCATTCCACAATCCGCAACCTACATGTACATTCATCTTCCATAGCATCAAATTGTGTCAAAAAAAGAATCCCAAAAAATAAAGATAGAAAGAGCTTTCATACTGAACACCACAAAACGATGTCGTAGGCTATGATTACCTGAACTCTGGAATTACCGAAGTATGTGGAGAGGAAACGAAGATTTGGGTCGCCATTATCCAAAACCCAGTCTTTGCAGGCCCGCCAATGGTCCATAAGCCCCGTGAGGATTACGGGTTGGTTTTGAACCAGGTACTTTTCAACAAAATCGGCGTAACTCAGTAGTTTTCCGTCCACCTTTTCCACTTCGCCTCCGATTTTCAGACCCATTTTTCATTCACCAAATCTGTAATCTTCTACTTTGATCGCCTAGGAGCGCCGAGCACGTTTGATCCCGTAGGTAAGAGGTGCGTCACTGCTCAATTTTACCATGTTCATCTATTTCACTCTGTTGGTAACAGTACGAGAAAATTGCAACAGAGATCCCTAGGCTTTAAGAAAAGTGCAAATATATTTCTAACTTCCATTTGATCTCTGTAAACAAAATCCATTTGATCCGATGTTAAATAGGCAGGTGATATATTTTTAAAATGATAATTATATTTTTATTTATAATTGAGAATTTTTTTTAAAAAAAAGAGAGACAAAAAAAGGTAAGTTTCCCAAACATCACCATCAATGATCAATCATCGTCTTCCCCGACATATCACATGTCCATTAATTTTCGTATTTAGGGGTTATTTGGCAATTTTTCATAAAAGTCAATGAAATGTATAATTGAAAAGTTGATTAATTTTTGAATCTCATCGATGAATTGTGCTGTTAAAACTAAAATTTGTTTAGCTGAATATGATTTTAACAAAATTGAGGATGTGTTTTGAGTGTAAGTATGGAATTTCCATAGGAAGAAAATAAATTTTAGAGAATTGAATTGTTTTGAACTTATTTCAGGAAAATAAAAATCATCACTCCCTAAAAAAAATGTTTTCCTTGATTTTGAAAAAAATATATTCACATGATCAAAAATTGAAAAATACTTTTCATTAATAAATTGTTAATCAAACACTCAAAAAGTAGGAATTTGGAGTGAAAAAAATGTCGTTTTCCATGAAAAATAAAGCCAATCAA